AGGAGGTCCTCCCTGATTGGTCAGCCGTGCCTCATCTCCCATCGTCAGAATTGCCCTGGAGCACTCTTGCTGGTGCCTGCTCATCAACCACTTTATCTTTTCCTTTTTTCTTTTTCCTGTGAGTCTCTTCCTGTCCCCTGGACTATAATGAGTAAGCTCCATGGGAACCGATACGAGGATTCACAGCTCACAGAAGAACCCAGGTGTGTCCAAATCCAAGGCCAAGATCCTCAACCAGCATCCAACAGCCCAGTGAGGCTGCTGCACCCGTGCCTGAACACAGGGTGGGGGGAATGGGGCCACCTGTTCTATTGTTGAAAGCCTGCCTGCCAAACACTTTATTCTCAACCTGCTGGAAATGAACCCATCCGAAACTGCTACCCAGTGACCCTGCGTGTGCCCCCAGAGCAAGCGAGTTCCCTCTTCCACATGGCAGCCTGTCAATAATTCACAGCCAGCTCTCGTGTCTCCCCGGCACCTGATCTTTTCCAGGGAGGAGCTGCAGAGCCAGGAGTGGGCTGACTTGGAACTGGAAAACCCAGGTTCAGCTGTTGCGGTGCATGGCCAGTGAGTTTCAAAAGCAAATTAAGTAGGTGATTTTGAAAAAGTAAGGACAGAAAAAAAAAAATCCCCAAGCCCTATCACCCTTGGTTCCTAAAAGAAAGGGCAGCCTGACACAGAAAAAAAAAAAAAAAAAAAAGTAGGGCAGACCATCTCAGAATTAATTTAGCCTTATGAAAACTCCTTACATTGTCCCTGTTTTCTTTCTATTTTATTTTATTTTTTTCGTTTTGCCACGTCCTGGTGCCGACTCTGTGGGGGACTGGCCCAGGTTCGAGAAAACGCTCTGCTATAACCCCATTAAAGCAAATACTGTCCACCAGAAAAACCGGAACAGGGCACTGTAACATCAGGACGCGGTACTTGCCCTGTTTCGAGAGGGAAGGAAGGGCTGAAAGCATCTGGTACCGCGAGACCCTGGAGCTCAGGAAACCAGGCCGACTTCTCCCTGCCGGCACGGCTTCCTGTCCGGCTGCTGTCTCAGCCCAGAGAAGCCTGGGACCTCCAGGGGTAGCCTATGGCCACGCTGGGCAGCGTCTCGAGCAAGCAGATCCTCCTGGACTTCAGGAGGACTCTGCCAGCCCCAAGGCAGGAGGCCAGTGAGAAAGGGCTGGTTGGTGATGCGACAGCAACAGGGGCCAGCGCTGTGGCTTAGCAGATACAGCCACCGCCTGCAGCATTGGCATCCCTTATGGGTGCCGGTTCAATTCCTGGCTGCCCCATTTCTGATCCAGCTCCCTACTCATGCAGAAGAAGCAGTGGAAAATGGCCCTGCTAACATGGGAAAGCCATGGACGATGGGCCCAAGTCTTTGGCAGTGCCAGCATCCCATATGGGCGCCGGTTCAAGTCCTGGCTGCTCCACTTCCAATCCAGCTCCCTGTTAATGCAGCGTGAGTAGTGGAAAATGGCCCTGCTAACATGGGAAAGCCGTGGACGATGGCCCAAATCCTTGGGCCCTTGCACCTGCATGGGAGGCCTGGAAGAAGCTCCTGGCTCCTGGCTTCAGATCTGCCCAGCTCCAGCCATTGTGGCCATTTGGGGAGTTAACCAGTGATTGAGGACCTCTGTAACTCTGCCTTTTAAATAAATACATACATCTTAGGGGCCAGTGCTGGCCTGGATGTCTCTCCACGCACGCGTTCATCCGTTTGTTCATTACATTGAACACCTACCACACGCACGGCACCGTGCACGTGTTGAGAGGACAAAGAATGATTTGATCTCTACTCTCAAGGAGCTTTGGAAGGGCAGATGTTCATCCAAGGTGAAGGGGTAAGTCTGAACTTAGGAGCGTGGTAAGAGCTACGACGGAGGTACCTGTTGACACTCAGAGCGTGGTATAAGTCAGCGATGGTGGCAAGAATGGCCGAGCTGAGGCGGGAAGGGAGAGCAGGCGTTGCGCGGGTGATGAAGGAGGCTTGGTGTGGGACCAGCATGCATTGCATGGAGCAGGGGAGAGCCTGCCATGGGAAAGGGGTGGAAGTGAAAGGAGAGGATGGAGGGGTTGGAGAGGCCAACTTGAAGGGATCGGGTCCTGTCCCTATTAAGTGAGACAGGAAGCCACTCGCTGCTGTGAGAGGTATTGAGCAAGAACGGTGGCACGAGGCCCGTATCACCACTTGGAGGCGGAGAGGAAACAGCAGTTGCTCTTGCAGGAATCAGACTGATGGTGGTGGTGGTGGTGACACTAACGATGATAGGATCAGCATCGCTGCTTGCGCGTGAGCTCGGGTTCGAGTCCTGGCTGCTCTGCTTCCAAGCCAGCTCCCTGCTAATGCTCCTGGGAAGGCAGCAGGTGATGGCCCAAGTGCCTGGGCTCCTGCACACCCACATGGGAGACCCAGATGGCGTTCCAGGCTCCTGGATTCAGGAGTGTATTGAGGGATTGAGCCAGCGGATGGAAGATCTCTTTCTCTCTCCCTGTCTCTGTCACTCTGCATTTCAAATACGTAAGTTTTTTTTTTTTTTTAATGATAAAAAAAATCAGGTGCTGGCTCTGTAGCAAAGCAAGTAAAGCTACTACTTGCAGTGCCAGCATCCCATATGGGCGCCGGTTCAAGTCCTGGCTGCTCCACTTCTGATCCAGCTCCCTGCTATGGCCTAGGAAAGCAGTAGAAGATGGCCCAAGTCCTTGGGCCCTTACACCCACATTGGAGACCCAGAAGAAGCTCCTGGCTCCTGACTTCGGATTGGCCCAGCTCCACCCATTGCTGCCAATTGGGGAGTGAACCAGTGGATGGAAGACCTCTCTCTCTCTCTCTCTCTCCGCCTCTCCTTCTCTCTCTGTGTAACTCTGACTTT